TCACAGCTCACAGCAACCTCCAACTCCTGGGCTCAAGCGAGTCTCCTGCCACCACCTCCCAAGTAGCTGGGACTACAGGCACCCACCACAACGCCCGGCTATTTTTTGGTTGCAGCCATCATTGTTGTTTGGCGGGCCCGGCCTGGATTGGAACCCACCAGCTCAGGTGTATGTAGCTGGTGCCTTAGCTGTTTGAGCCACAGGCACTGAGCCTGAATATACTTTTTAAGAGCAGTTTTAAGTTTACAGGCAAATTGAGCAGCAACTGCAATGAGTACCATACATCCCCTCACGCCTCCTATTAATAGTGTCTGGTCCTAATGGGGAATGTTGTTATAATTGATGAGCCAATATATATATTAAAGTTTGTACTTTACATTAGGCTGAACTCTCTGTGGGGCACATTCTGTGGGTGTGACAAGTGTATAATGACATATATCCACAATTACAGTATCACACAGAATTGTTTGACTATCCTCAAAATTTCCCGTTTTCACCTGTTCGTCTCTTCATCCCCCCATCCTTTGCTTCCGCTGATCTTTGACTGTCTCTGGGTTTGCCTTTTCCCGAATGTCATCTGGTTGGAATCACACCCTTTCCCACTGGCTTCTTTTACTCAGGAGCACACATTTGGAGTTCGCTGAAGTCTTTCCAGAGCTTGATACCTCATTTCTTCATATCACAGAATAATATTCCATTATATGAATGAACTATGATTTGTTTTGTCCATTCACCTACTGACGGGCAACTCGGTTGCTTTCAAAGCTGCTGTAAATATTTGTTTGCAAGTTTTTGTGTGGATAGATAGAACTCAGGTAGGTAGGTATCAGGAAGTGCAATTGCTGGATCATCTGGGAAGAGTATGTGTCTTGTCCTTATTTTACTCTTCTATTATTCTTTTTCCCACTTTCAGTTTGCCATGTTCCACTCATTATTTATTCCACGTAAACTATTATTCGTTTGTCCTTTTATTTATTCTCATCTCCCCGAAACTGCTTGGTTTTCTTTTACTTTTCTAGTGATAAGGTTTTAATTTCTTCAACCTTCTATAGCTCCCTTTAAAGCTTTTATTATTATCTATTTACGGTACATGCAGCAGAGTCTGAATTATTGTTACAGATGACACTATTGAGAAAAATGTCTGACGAGTAGAAATCACTTACCTTGGTTGACGATAAATCTTAACTTCTGTATTGTTGCCAGATTGCCACTAACTCGATATATTCCATCAACATCTAGGCCTGAAAACAAAAGCGCATATTTTATCTTAGTACATACGAGAATGAAGATAGTAAAAGAAAAAAGTAATAGCGAGGAGCAAAAAGAGTATAAACGTAACAAAATATACCTTCCTCATAGAGAAAACAAATCCCTATGGCCCAAACTAAGCAATCTTCAAAAGTTTAATCCCAAAATTAATCATGAAGTTTGTGTGACAATCATTAAAAATTTGAGTCTAGGGCAGCTCCTGTGGCTCAAAGGAGCAGGGCACCGGCCCCATATGCTGGAGGTGGCGGGTTCAAAACCCAGCCCCGGCCAAAAACTGCAAAAAACAAACAAACAAACAAAATTGAATCTAGTTGAACCACCAATTACATAGTATACTTAAGATTAAACTATAAAAGAAAAATAGGAATCAAACTGGAGGAAACGAAGAACCTCCTGGTATACATGTATTAGTGCCATTTTAAGAAAGATAGAATAACTCAAGGCATTTGTGAGGAGTTTCCTTCCTGCCCACGTTCCTGCCTTCATGCCTCCGTTTCTCTTCTTTCCTCCCTCCTTCTCCCCTCTTCCAACTCTCTCTCTTTCTTTCATTTCTATTTCTATTCTATTCTATCCTATTCTAGTCTATCCTCTTTTTTCCTGTGATTACTATAGCATATATATATGTCAATCTGATTATTTGAAACTATAGAGTGAAAAGTCTATTCCAGATATAAAACTAGTTTGATAACTTCTAGTACATAATAGGTAATAAGGTATTCTATGGTGGAGCAAAAAAATAAAAAGAAATCTTTGGCAAAGATGATGAAATTAGTTTCAGATTATTTCAAAACTGGTTATCTACAATTCAAAATAATGTATCTTTGCAGTAAATTTGTATAAATCAACCACTTGTTTTCTACACATCTATTTATAGTACCTAGGTATTTTCATGACCAGGTTATCAGGACAATGAAGAAACAGGAAAAAGAAAAGAGAGACATCTATTCAAACACTATTATCTTCCACAAACATGCTAGTAACATACTTCTAATGTCTGGAGTGTGTATTATCTGCTGTCTCTAGGCCCTCAGAGTGGCCTAGGTGAGATTACCAGCCAATGTAGAGGTCATTATCTCAATAGCTATTCTAAGGAGGTGATATAGTACCATGGATAATTATTGTAATTCACAAGAATAAGCATTAAATATATTAGTAGAAATTATTGTCGTATTATAAAGGAGTAAAGGCTTTCCAATGCTCTTTATTGGCATGAAATGAGGCCCCCATTGCTTTGGCATCTCTGTAATTTTACATGCTTTATATTAGGAACATTTCTGCTATTGTGTAAAATATTTCATCAGTAGGTTAGGGTGGAATAACATAACTTATAGCACTGATATTGATGGCAAAATTTAGAACAATCATTCTCTATGATTTTTTGCTCTTCCACATAATAAACTGTAGGGTAACAGGATAATGGCAATAGAATGGAATAGCTATTATCAGGTATACTAGGTTATGCAAGTTTTGTATTTCTAGATTAATCTAAGAATCAATTATTGAGACTTTACCCCTTCCTGAGAACTATAAATTGTGAGAAATTGGGTGAAGCTGCATATTTGTTAGTAGTGGTGAGTTTCTAAGACATACACATTTAAAAAAAAGACATATACGTTTATAAAAATCAAATATATTTTTTCTTCCTGATGCACAAAGTAGCTCCATTAATCTAAGGATACTCCCTCCAGTTTTCTTGCTTCAAAGTACAATATGTGCTTAACAGTTTAAATGTGACAATCCTCCTAATTAAAATGTTTCTTTTTCTTTCTTTCTTTTTGAGATAGAGTCTCATTCTGTAGCCCTGGGTAGAGTGCCGTGGCATCACTGTAGCTCAAACTCTTGGGCTCAAGACAAGAGATCCTCTTGCCTCAACCTCTGAAGTAGCTGCGACTACAGGAATTTGCCACCACACCCAGCTAGTTTTTTCTATTTTTAGTAAAGATGGGGTCTTCCTCTTGCTCAGGCTAGTCTCAAACTACTGAGTTCAGGCAATCCACCCACCTTGGCCTCCCAGAGTGCTAGGATTACAGGCATGAGTCCCTGTACCCAGCCTTAATAATTTTTTTTCTAATATTTAATTCCTAATTATATATTGGCCCATGTTGGTCTTAAGTTTATGCACATATACCCATAAATATTAATATTAAAATATTAATTTATGAATAATTTGTTAACTTTTAGTTGCTTTGTTATGATTAGATCATATTTGATACTTAGCTTTGATCTTTAAAATTTCAAGTAGTGTAATAGATTTTAAAAATATTAAAACTTGTACATCTAATTGTGTCATTTTGAAAACTTCCCTTCTTAATTTTTTGAATATACAGACACTAGGAAAAAGATTTCAAAATTCTTCTTCACAGTCACCTTTAGGGGCCCTGTAGTGTCTATAGAAAAATGTTCCTGATGGCAAGCTTGGGGGCTTTAGGGGTAGTTTTGGATTTGGAAGCAGTTAAATATCATTTAGAACCATGAGTGGTAAAAACAATGTCACCTTGTTGCTTGCCATCAAAACGAAGTTTGACCAAATGAAAATTGGTCTGATTATTCCCCATTGAGAAATAATGAGTTATCCATGGCTTTGAAGGAGTGAAAAAGACTATTATAGAAAATAGAGACTTCAATGGAGTAAGTGGGTTTGTGTTCTCTAAATGAGAAATTCTAATACATTTCTTAAAGAACCAATCACATTTTCCTTATTTATAATAATGATTAAGACAATCATTTAGATTGTCAATTGGTATCTGTTACAAGAAAAATCCGAATATTGATTTTTTTTTTTTTTTTTTTTGAGACAGAGTCTCAAGCTGTCGCCCTGGGTAGAGTGCTGTGGTGTCAGCTCACAGCAGCCTGAAACTCCTGGGATTAAGCCATTCTCCTGCCTCAGCCTCCCAGGTAGCTGGGACTACAGGTGCCCGCCACAACCCAGGCCACTTCTGGGTTGTAGCTATCGTTGTTTGGCAGGCCCAGGCTAGATTCAAACCCACCAGCTCTGGGGTATGTGGCTGGCGCCGTAGCCACTGAGCTACAGGAACCGAGCCAGAATATTTTTTAAAACTAGTTTTTGTTTTGCTAATTAGTAAGTACCCTTATCAGAGGTCAAAGATAAATGAAATTATTTAAATTTCAGCAAAGTTTCATCATAACAAGTATAGACCTTCCTTTAACCTCACTCTCATCTGCACGCCCCTTGACGCAAGGTCTATAAGCAAATGCATGTCTATTTTGAGGCTACCCTCCTTTCCCAATATTTTAAATGCTAGTGAATGGCATATGTTGTCTAGAGTTGTAAACTGGATCTCAACAACTGAAATTCTCTGTGTCCAAAAAATTTTCTTATTCTCTTACGAAAATATGAAGTTAGTACACAAGAAGTACTCCTCTTACTCTGTCCTAAATTTCATTAGAAAAAATTTTTTTAAAGCCCAGTAATCAAAAACATTGGAAAGAGCAGTATGGATGGGATATGGTGCATGTGAGCAACGGGAAAGCACTGGACTATTGAAGGAAAGCAGCCTCATCCTAAATCAATAACCCGACTTTCTTTCAGATGGTGGAAACAGGCAGGGTAATTCAGACCTGTGTCATCATCATGGTTAGAGAAGAGTCACAGCAGAGAAACTGCTTTGTGGCTGGGGACAGAAAACAGAAGGTAGGAGGGAGTAAAGTAAAACGTATCAGATGCAAGATGAATCCCACTTGGTGTAACTTCCAAGCCCTTTAGATGCAGAGCTATCAACACCATACATCCTGGGGATGGTAACAGTCTCTGACATTAGCGGCTCCTGCTTTCAATGGCTCAGGCTCCCCTGCTGTCATACTTTTTAAATTACACAAATAGAGTGAAAATGATGAGGTACATATTAAAAAGGAGGGTATTACATTTTGCAAAATAATCTGGAACATATCAGTAAAATTTAGCAGTTATAAATTATATAGGTACACTCTTGAAGTTGATTAGCTTTCCCCTAAATGGCTCACAGAATGGCAAACCCAAAGTCCTAGGAATATTACCCAAATTACAATTATTCACGTGCCATCCTCTTTTTACTCCAAGAACTTTGAAAGTTATGCCAAACCAAACCAATGTAAATTGGTGGATTTGGACATCCTTTTCATAACCACATTATCCTTGCTGGATTGGAAACTACTTATTTTGGAAATATAATTAGACTCCGTATGATTTTTAAATGAGCAATGTCTTCAAGGTACCTTTGTTGTGCGTTGGTGAAGTCTGGAGAAAAATCACTTTGAGAGGTACCTCTTTCAGGAAAATAACATGACTTTAAATGCTGACAGGAATTTGCCTGTTATGCTAAAAATACTTTGGGAACACGATGAAACTAAGTAATTTTACTTTTTTTTTTTTTTTATCGACTGGCATTAACAGCAGTAACAAAAAATCCTCTGAAGAAACCCACACTCCCTGAAATGTCGTTTATTTGTTCATCATCAGCTGACCTACTTATGTTTCAAAATAGTGTTTACCGTTGGCAGAAATCACTGAGTTTTGCTGTAGGGGATTTTTAAAAGTCTTTTCCTCCCCTCTTTTTTTACCCCTTGAAGAAGCTTAGACTGGGAGAGACACACAATTAGGAGTTATTAGACCAAATGGTGGTCTAAGCCCAGTGGAAAGAATGCAGCTGTCATGAGTAATTCCCACCATAAATCTTAAACACTTTCCAAAAAGAAATCTAAGAGACCAGCACTGTGTCCAGAGTTGACTGGCTTATCTGCCAAAATATGGGCAGTTTTTGACAATGCAGATGAGCTTGTTAAAAATAGTTGCAAACTGCGAATTAGGTGGCATCCTTGGTAGCCTGAATGATGGACAAACCACAGAGATGTGGACGTTCAGCCTCGTGGGGTGGAGTGCCCCCAAAGCCTGCATATTTTTCTGACCCATAACAAAACGCATCTGAACTTCTATAGTCTGCAAATGTGGGCTGGGAATTTGGTACAAATAGTACCT